CAATAACATTACAATGTAACGATACCAATTTAACTGCACCAAATTCACATTTCGACAAGTAATATCTCTTCAGTGATGCTAGAGGCCAAACAATTAGAAAATCCCAAATCTAATACAAACGTTGAAGGACTGATAATTAAAGATATGTAATCAATATAAGCCAGAAATATTCTGTTTATAAAAAAATGTGCCACATGGGATGGAACAACGTAGTTGTGATTGTCTATTTGTTATAAGGCTATACTAGAAACACGGCATTGCCAGATCTTACATATGTCGCTGAATTGATCTTAATGATGCATGAAATGACACCAAAAATCATGTCCATGTATGTGAGCAAAAACTAACACAGAACAACTTAAATTATTCTAAAAAAAAATGAATTTTTACTCTTTACAGTGTTATAATAAAAGGGAGCTTTTATGATTTTTTAAAGGACTTTAATCGACTTAAACATTGCCTTTTTTCCTTATCATTTCATGTGGTTTATCTATTTATATTCGGTTGAGCGTTTCAATGCCCATTTGAACTGCAATTAATCCCACACTTTGTCATCCCTTTTTTTATGATGATTTTATCATCATTGAATTAACCAAGTTAACATTGCATTTACTTTGAATAAAAGAAGATGGAGGATATTCGTCAATGAAACAGCAACCCAATGACACAAACACTTAAAGACATCTAGATGACAAAGATGATTGATTATTGATTGTTGGTTGCTTAATGTCCAGTGACAAATATTTCATGCATGTTCAGGACGGGAACAAATTACTAATAAATACAACAAGTAGGTCCTGTAATAGAGGCCGTCCGGGATGAAGGTCGGGGGAATTTAGGGGGGTTTTACTGCCAGTCAGAAGATGACCACGAGTGAAGAAGATGCCAAAGAGATACGGAAAATACCAAAAGGATAGTTAAACTCAGAAGTCGTCAACGAACTCACAATGTCATGGCAAAACACGAAAAACGACCAAAAGACAAACAAAACTCTACAAAACAGAACATATGGCATACAACTATAGACAGATGTCAATACAAAATGTCAAGTTTTCAATCAGCAACAAATTATGGATAAATTTAATAGATACCATCAAAGATCACATTCCTAAAAGATAAAAAATAAATCATCGGGATATGACAAAAGACAACCACTGGCGAGGTTTCTGGCTAGGGACATGCACGTGAACATTTGGCAGGATTAACCCTATTTTTATCTCAGTCCTTTTTTAATCTCAATTGGTGGAATAACGAAAGAAACACTTTCTTTTTGTTGGCGTCTTACTCATTTTTATTTGTATGTTTGATTGATTTTTTTTAAGTCAGTTGTGTTGTATATCTGTGATGTATGTTTACACAGTTTTGGCTGTTGGATCCCTATTATTGACACATTAACCAACTATGTCTGTTTGGGTAATTCACCCAGTTCTGTCAATATAACGGTACAGTCACTACTACTATAAACAACTGTCATACAAGTTGAACCACCGTTTGCTGCGGGAAATGCCTATACCAAGTCAGGAATATGGATTGATAAAGTTAAAATGTTGAATACAAAAAGTAATAAGCTAATTCTAAGTTAGACATTTGTTCCGTTTGTTGATAAAGTCTAAGTTAAACGTTTGATTTTGTCAGGTTTTATGGACTTCCCCACTTTTTAACTTTATCTTGGAGTTTGGTATTTTCGTTAATTCTTTTTCTTTTGTTATTACTTTTTTTATTTAACATTTTAACTTTATCAATCCACCAAAAGTCTTTTTAATCAAAACGACATGAGGGTTGAATTAGATATAGATACAATCCAAAAGGGGCCAACGGGACATCTCCACCAAAAAAACCCAAAAAAACAGGAATACCGTCCCGTTTGTCATCAATTGTAGTAGAAAGATTGACAAGAGAAATTGCCGTAATATCGATGACTTAAAAGGACAACATTCACTTTTATATGAATTCTACTAGCTTTTATAGTTTGTTTTGGTATTTATGAAGTTTTTTAAACTCCTTGTGTCCTCTGAAGAAGTTCTCTTGTTTCTACGACATACTACACACTGTTTGCCGGCTTATTTCAGATTTTTAATTAAATAAGGCTAGTAGTTTTTCATGTAACTTTGTTAGGAAATGAAAGCTAGACAGTTCTGTTACTGACAGACTGACAGTAGATGTATGCTATCGTTAAGGTAGATGGGGTGTCTAAATTATAATCCATAGAATTTTTTAATAATTTGCCAAAATGTAGTTTATATCAAGCTTTTTAAAAAAAAATTATAAAAGGAATGGGTCACGGGGCTTATTTTCACGCTACAGGTTGTTCAAAATTAACAGATTTTGTATAGATTATGCATGGAAAACCCAATTTTCTGCCATAAAACGAAAACTACACCATAGAATTTTGAGATAAAATATGAGAAGATAGCTTTAATATTATGCTTTCAGATAAGAAAAAGAAAAAATGGGGTCACCGGACTCGTTTTCTTGCTACATAATAAAATAGGTAAATTCCTAACACATTCTATTGTAAAAGTACCTTTATCTGAATTATCTGCCCTTACATTTGAGTTGCCTCCCCTTATGTGGCAAAGTTGGAAAAAATTGAATCAAACAAAAGTTTTCTGTTTTTTGTAAAATACAACCATAAATATGATAAAACATGTCATTTTCTATATTGAAATGAAAATTCTTACACATGAATTACCTACTACTCTCAAAATTTGCATATTCTATTAAAGATCTAGACCGATTGTTTTCAGGTATTACAAAATCCAAGATGGAGGAAGACACCCTATCTACCTTAACTAACGTTATAAAGATAAGGAGAAGTGGTATGATTGTCAATGAGACAACTATCCACCAAAGTTCAAATGAAGTGGATGTAAGCAATTATAGGCAACCGTACGGCCTTCAACAATGAGAAAAACCCATACCATGTGGTCGGCTATAAAAGGCCCCGACATGAAAAAATATGAAACAATTCAATTGAGAAAACTAACGGCCTAATTTATAACAAAACAGTTTACGAAAAACAAAAATGACAGACATCAACCAACGACAACCACTGAACTGCAGGCTCCTGACTTGGGACAGGCACATAAAGAATGTGGCGGGTTAGGTGATATTTGTGGGCATTTCACCTGTTAATTTTTCATTATTACTTTTTATGCATCTTCTTAGATAGTTTCTTCTTATCTCGTGTTGTTTCTTTGTTGTTGTCTTAGGTATCGATCATTTCTGTTGATGTTTACAATTTATTGCATTACTTTGAGTGTTTCACAAAAATATGGAACTGTATATTTACATATAATCAAAATGTCATGCACGAACAACTCAATCTGTGTATCTATGGAAGTATATTGTAAATGTTCTCAATATTGATCTTGGTAACGGAACAGTTCATTATTTGCATGTAAACACCAACTTCCAAAGTGTCATCGCAGGGACGCTGGCATGCCATGGAAACTTCTATGAATAGAAATTTGACGACCGAGAATGGAAAGGATTCTACAATACTTAGTTTAAGTGGATAGTTTTGAATCTTAAAAGGGGAGTATCCAAATGAAGAAAAGGGCCAATTTTTCTTTTGAATTTTAAACGGACAACATTTTACCTACGAAATTTATTGTATTTATGGAAGGAAAGAATTTGAGTACAATTTAATATAAAATTGTTAACTTGAATGCGCCAGATACAAACTCTTATACTAAGTTCCTTATTTCTATACATTTTGTATAAATCATGAGTAAACTGCACTTTATACTGAGTATTATCTATTATATAGAACGTATGCCAGTAAGAAATCTTGGTTGATTCTGAAGTTCTCAAATGGATTTTCGAGTTCAAGTATTTTGCTTTTGAGCAGAATTAATTCAAACCGAATAAAGTGAATAAATCTGTCGTAAAATCGCCCATTTTTTTGTTTTATGACGCCTATAAATAGAAAGGAATCCCAGTTTTAACCCTTATAATTTCTGAGTTACCAACTGCATTTAAAGATCATTTGTGTTAAAACATATCATTGACAGAAGGGATGACCGCTTCCTTATTCGAACATTGTACACAATACCAGTTCTTTTGGTGATATCAATCATCTAGTAATTCCTTTTATTCTATAAGCTTCAATATGAACCAGAAGTGTTTCTGTTCTTGTTTATTTCCGATTATACTATTTTCATTTGTCCCGATTATCATACGTTATCGCCATTTCGTACCGTAAAGTGGTTGTATTTTACCTTTGTCACTGTCGTTATTCCTTTCGTGGATTAATCACAGAATATTATGCTTATTGTATGACTTAAAAAGAAAGACAAGATTTAACACTTGAGCAACCATGAATCTTTTTATTAGATTTACTGGGGTAATAAAGAATGCTTGAATTGAACCAAATCTATTTTTTATTCCATCCTTGCATCAACAAATTCAGGATATATGACATGTTGTTCAGTCTCAATAAATTTTCATTTTTAGCTTCTGGGTTTACGCAAGTCTGTTGGCAATAAGCAATGATTTAAGAAACCATATTCAATACCTTTATAATCTAAAAAAGAAGTAGTCTGTAAATAAGCCTCTCAAGACATTTAAAGTCAGAATAATTTGTTATTGTTAAAGTGATCCTGTAAGAGGCTACCAAAATAATGCTTTCTACTTGACGTTAAAAGTTTTATGGTAGCCATCACGATTTAGTTGATCGTTACGAAGTATCAATATCACAGATGACTTATGATAGTTTTCAAATATCTCTTCTTTAATGTTGTCGTTTCTCTTTTTTATCAAACGTTACTGTGAGTATCTCAACGTTTACATTTCATGCATTTGTGTAAAGGCAACTGTTTACCCTTCCGAAACATTTACGCACACATACATATACAAATAAATGTATGCAAAAACCTTTGCACGGTGAATTTTATGGTTCTGGTTTTTTATCATTGTATTGTCTATCTTTTTGGTGCACTTTTTTTTATATATATCGCCATGATGTCTTTACCATATTTATAGAGAAAAATCAGAAAAAAATCAGAGAAATTTTATTTAGAGAAAATATCGGAGGCTTACATATTTTAATCACACATACTTCGTAAAACGTTGTCTATTTAAGGTCCTTAATACTGACAAGCTGTTCGAATGCATATTAAAAAATCTAAACATTCCTGAAACTAGTACAATATTGAATAACATATGATTTCATTTTAGAATGAATTTTTATAGATACATTTGTTGATGATAAATAACTTTAAAAACCTGACATTTATTTAAAGAAAGTTACACAACCACGACTTTTGTAATGTTAAAGAGTTAGTTTTCCTTTGGTTTGAATCTTTTCATTCCGCTGAAAACTTCTCTCCAGTTTTGGTATGTATTGCTGTATGGATCAAATGCAAATGGGCTGTTTGCCGAATATCGTCCCATTCTTTTTTCTTTTGGTATACGATGTAGAAGTTGACCTAAGCTCATTAGTTGTCGACTGTCAGTGTTAAATCCGTCATACGATGCAGGGTATCCAAATCCGAATCTTTTCTGATAGCGATCATTCCATTTTTGAAACTGAGCACGGTCCATGTTGAATGGTTGAAAACCTTGAGCCTTTGCTTCAAACGAGACAACATTGGCAATAAGTGATATGAACACGGTCATCGCAATTGCAAAAAATGTTCCTGCATACCAACTATTCATTTTGCCTAGAAGAAGAAAAACAAACAATTACGATATTTAAATATGTAATATCCTGTAAAACGTTTTACAGCTTCCGGTTCATGCTCTTTTTTTCTCATATGTATTTTTCAATGTGAATGGAAAAGCCAATATTGCTGAGAATTTTATTCCAAGTAAAGTAAAGGAAACCATACATTACTGATTTTAAATATCGAAGTTATGGAGGAAATAACCAATTAAATTTTAAATCAGATTTATTTCATTATCTAAAGCAAGAGATGCTAAAGTCTGATGACAATTAAATCACATGTATGTTTGTACAATGGGAATTCAAGTAGTGGATCTCATTAAATCATACTAAAGTCATAAATGTTAGAACAGAAAACCTTTAACTGCTAATAAAATCGAATAAAGATACGTCTGTGTTATACTGATCTGAATCCTTTCTTATAAATCAGACTAAAATGGAAATAAAATGAAACAGAAAATTATGGCTACTGTATTTATCACAAAGCAAGCTGTAATGAAGGGTAACAAGTTAATTATATTTATAAAACCCAACAGGAATGGAAACTAAAGCATTAAAAGTGGTTGTAGGCACACCAGTTTGTTGGTTGTAGAAAGTATAGATATTTTCAGTACTCGTGGTTCAAAATAACAAGTTATCCACTTGTCGACCACTGTTCACTATTTGAAATACATACAAGTAAATTGATGTGTTGTTATAGTGTTTTATGTGCTCTAGTGATTTGGTCGAAGATTTTTTTCTCAAAATTATGTAATACATAAACAGGAAAACAGGAATCTTCAAATATACTGGACAGCACAACAGACCAAATTAACCACTAACACCCGACTCCTCCAGTACACCAGATTACATTTACTGCCAACAACCGACTAATCCGTGCTCCTCCTGGACTGTATAACAGAACACATTTACCACCAACACCCTACTTCTAGACAGTACACAAGATTACATTAACTGCCAACAACCGACTAATCCGTGCTCCTCCTGGACTGTATAACAGAACACATTTACCACCAATACCCTACTTCTCCTAGACAGTACACCAGATTACATTAACTGCCAACAACTGACTAATCCGTGCTCCTCCTGGACTGTATAACAGAACACATTTACCACCAACACCCTTCTCCTCCTAGACAGTACACCAGATTACATTAACTGCCAACAACCGACTAATCCGTGCTACTCCTGGACTGTATAATAGAACACATTTACCACCAACACCCCTCTCCTCCTAGACAGTACACCAGATTACATTAACTGCCAACAACCGACTAATCCGTGCTCCTCCTGGACTGTATAACAGAACACATTTACCACCAACACCCTACTCCTCCTAGACAGTACACCAGATTACATTAACTGCCAAACACCGACTAATCCGTGCTCCTCTTGGACTGAATAACAGAACACATTTACCACCAACACCCTACTCCTCCTAGACAGTACACCAGATTACATTAACTGCCAACAACCGACTAATCCGTGCTCCTCCTGGACTGTATAACAGAACACATTTACCACCAACACCCTTCTCCTCCTAGACAGTACACCAGATTACATTAACTGCCAACAACCGCCGACTTATCCGTGCTCCTCCTGGACTGTATAACAGAACACATTAACCACCAACACCCTTCTCCTCCTAGACAGTACACAAGATTACATTAACTGCCAACAACCGACTAATCCGTGCTCCTCCTGGACTGTTTAACAGAACACATTTACCACCAACACCCTACTCCTCCGTGGTCTTCCGCCTAGATTCTTTTGGTTTCATCCATTTACAATGTAGACTACTTCTCCTACTTATTCATTGGATATTTATAAAACACTTATTGGCAGAAAAATATTAAGACGAAGTCTTTATTATATTTGAAACATGTGTAAGTGATAAAAGGATTCTTCTCATTTAGAATAGGCTTCTTTTCATTTTTTTTTTACTTTACTTGATGTGATGTTTTTCCTTTTCCCTCTGTTTTCTTTGCGGTAACATTTTTGTTGGAGAGGGTGTTTGTGTATGTGTATGTGCGCATGTGAGCCTGTGTTAGATTGTTGAATAATCTCGTGAACTATGTTATATTTTTTGCAGCATTTAATTTGCAAGCTGCAAAACTATGATTCAATACACTACAATAATGGTTAATCAGAAAAAAGAAATAGAACAAAAGAAAAAAGGAAGATCAAGAAAAAGAGAACATGAAGACTGAAACAGAAAGAAAAGACAAACAATCATTACGCAAAAAATCCTATATGCATTAATCATTTTATTTTTTGATAAGTTTTTGGTTAAATCTTTGTAACATATAATTCGTCTGTTAGATTGAAATCAAAATATTTCCATTTCTTAGCAGTCAAACTTGACTTTCCAACAAACGCTATTTGTATGCAATTCCTTGAATTGCTTTCAAAACAAATGGATATTTTCTCATTTGACAGATAGGATATATTTCTGCATCTACCACAGACTAATCAAATTCACAGAAGAATAAAAGCAAGTTTGACAAATGACTTAAGAAAAGTTAAACATAAATATACGGTCATGGAACTTATCCAGACTCAAACAATGGTCCTAACAAGACTAAAGAACAATACAGAACAGTAAGTTATAGGTTGTCATACACTAGGGTTGCTTGTCCATTGATGATATGATTATACTAATGAAATGACAAAAGACAACTACTAACCAGGTATAACTATTAAATTTATTTAGCGTACGTCCACGCACTAACTAAGTGAAAGATAGTACACAGAAGAATAGATAAAGAGAAGAAAAACACATTTCAGTTTAAACGCTGATATCGACTTGTAGACGACTGTTTACTATTGAAATTCATACATTTTAAATTGATATGTTGTTTTGTTGCATTCATAACATGATTTCCTTGATAGAGAGAGGATTACTGCTTACAAGGAAGCTATTGAACGAAGAGCTCCAAGTGGTGAAGTTGAAATCATCCCTTCGAAAATTTTATGGACGCCTTCACGAGTTGGTAGACCGTTATGAAATATCTGTTTTACAGATGACGACGGACATGTTCCAACTGTCGTAACCACAATCCCGTCCTTTTTTCCTCGAATATGACCAACCGAAATTAGACTTATCACTGGGGCTGTACTTACATGAACAAGACTACGGGTGCCACATTTGGAGCAGGATTTGCTTACTCTTCCTGAGCACCTGAAGTCACCCCCGGTATTTTGTTGGGTTCGTGTTTCTCAGTCTATATAGTTTTCTATAATGTGTTTTGCGTGTTGTTGTTTGTCTTCCGTCGTTTTCGTTTTTTGTCGGGAGGGGGAGGATGAGGGTAAACAAACTTAGTTAGTTATCAAACATTTCATACACGTCTAAAAATGGCCATTTGGTTAGATTTTGGCAAATTAAAAAAGTATCTGAAATAAATATGTGCAACTATCGAAACCAATATTATTTTTTTTTAAAGCAATGATACTACATTCTGTTCATGTATTGTCTTTAAGATACATGTTATTACATTGCAGTTCCGAATATGCTTCGATGCAAAATTATGATGTGAAAACATAGATTATCAAAAATGCCTTTAAGAGGCATGAAGAGGACCGAAAACGTTTTGATTGTACTGAAATTTGTATTTATATTGAGAAATCTAAGTAGATCTATATTTATATATTTAGACTTTTTGATATGTAATTATTTGGTGTACTTTAATTTTATTGTTTTATTCAATTTCTTAGAAATTGATGCATAAAATTGTTTTTACGAAACAATAAAGAAACATATTTAAGTACTGCTTTGTAGAATATTGGATCACGTTCGAAACGAAAACTAGTGTTAACTATAGAGATGAGGCATACTCCAGGACGTCACATAGTGCGTTCTTTCACTAAGTGCTCTTATGAAATGACAAAAGAAATTAAATGGAACGATGACAAAATATTAAAGATATATGTAATAACGGAATGATAGTTTTATTAGTAATCTTATTTTTGGTTGCCTTGATAGTATAAAACGATTATATAATCATACATAACAATGTGCAAAAATAGTTTGCACTATATATTGTATATATATTATATATGAAACTCACAGGCGCATTAGGCATGGACTCCCTTTTTCTTTTCTTGTTTTGTTGTGCTTGTTTTTGTGTGTTTAAATATTTTTGAATATTTTAACTTCTTTACACTTATTTAAATTATTCTTGCTCTTATCAAACGATATTACAATAGAAGTTTAGTTTAAACATATTTTATTTGCTTAACTATGCAAAAAGGGAGGAGACACAAGTTAATCAAACTTATAAAGTTTCTCCCATGAACAATTTATAACAATACATTTTTTTTACAAAGCATGCATGCAAACAATACATTATATATAGTTGGATATGTAAAAAGATAATGTGTGATGATTTGAATGGTTGTACACAATATACATGCATATGCACTTTAGTGCGATATTAAACAATTAGAAACCTCTTTGACTCTTTAATAAATTCATATACATTCTTTAAAATTCTTTCATTTTCATCATTAGTTAATGACGAATCACCGGAGGTTAAGATGTTTAAATTTAGTGGAGAGTTCTCTGGTAACCAGTTCAGATTATTAGATAGTTTGATTCTTATATTCGTATAATAAGAACATTAAAAAAGAAGTAATATGAATCTTCACGCTTAGCACCACAGCTACAAGACGGATCTGAAATTATATTGACTCTGTTAAGATCATAATTCAAAAAAGAGGCTGAGCATCTAAATTGAGTCAAAATGGTGTTGAGTTTACGATTGACAAATTCATAATGTTTAGGTACTTGGGCTTTTGAATTCAGTTTAAGATTTTTTAATTCGGTTTTAAATTTACCTAAAGAGTCAATATTGCGGGTCACCACATTAAGGTTATTCCACAGTCGTATAGTTGAAGGTATAACAATACAAGTAGTTAATACATGCAGCTAGTTTACCTCTATACTCCCTTTTCCGTAGAAAACATAAGGTTCCAACTCTTTCATGAAAAGTTTACCAT